TCCAAGATCAACTCCCCCATTGGGTTGGGAAATTGTCTTTTGTTCTTTCATTTGTTTGTTTTTCAAGACAGGGTTTCTCTGTGTAATAGTCCTGGCCATCCTGGAATACTCTTTGTAGATCCACCTCCTTCTACCTCCTGAGTACTGGCATTAAAGGTGTGTGCCACCACACCTGGCCTTTTTTTATTTTATATATTGCTAGATTAAATTTCAGTTTTCTTTAGTCTCTGACCTTTTAATCGCTATCATAAATAGAGATTGTTCATTTGGGGTTTTCTAACATTTCTTTTACTTTACTGTTCCCTTCATTTCAATGTGTTTTTCTCCTGTGGCTTCATCCGCTTTATAAAGGCTCCATCATCTGCTTCACCTTGGAATTCGAGTAGTCGGCTCTCTCTTCTAAAAGAGAGCTTTATTTATCACAGGTGGCTGCTAGCATTTTCATCGGAATATGACTATTTTATGCTGGTCTGCTGGATTGTTTTGAGGTATTTCCTTGGTTTGCTGATTAACTAGAACACAGGATGTTTTTTGTTTTTGTTTTGTTGTGGTTTTGGTATAGTGTGATATGAACACTCGCACCCTCCTGTGGGCTAATTCTGTGCCTCTTCTTTTTTCTATTTCTCGCTGGTTTTTTGTTGTTTGTTTTTGACCTGACTAAGAAAGACTGGATGCACCCTGTCTCTAAATGCAGTGTCTGCTTTCTAGTTGGAAAAAACTAGAACAGGTCGGGGAAAGTAGAATTCATGGGACCAGAGTACATTTCTTCATACAAAGACAACAGAATGTGATTTAATTCCTGTAGCTGAACTCAAAGGTGATGGAAATGGAGTGCAGGAGTGCACTGACTCTAAAACTGTCTTGATCTGGGGCCAAAAGGGAACCACAAGGACCTAAGACACAGGTGGAGAAGAAATGAAAAGGAGTCAAAGGTCACTGCTGGTTATGATTCTGCCTTCAGCTGGTATGGTTGGAAAACAGTAGCTTGGCTGACTGATTATTGCAGTCCTTGTCTCAAGAGCTGGGGGCATATAATCAGGAGAAGTCACGGGCTTTTCCTCCCCTTTCGTGGCAGGGCTTTCTATGATGTTTTAATCAGATTATGGAAAATGTGATTTATAGTCCAAAAATGTTTCCTCATCTGCTTTGATTGACATTGTAGCCAAAGTGGAGTTCTCCTCCAGCTCGCAGTGTGTTCTCGTTGGCAGCTTACAGTATGGTTTTGAGTGTCTGTCTTTCTCTTGTTGTTTCTGTGCAGCGTGGAGGTTTAGTGGTGAGCTGGGTTTGAAGACTGACAAGCAGACAAGACTGGTGTGTTGTCATCTAGATGTCCTGGAAGCATCCTGGAGGCTGGAGAGTTGGCTCTATGATTAATCCTCCAGAGGATCTGGGTTTGCTTCCCAGCATCCACATGGCAGCTCATAACAACAGCTTGTAACTCCATAGTTATGGGATATGACACTCTCTTCTGGCTTCTGTAGCTACCAGGCATGCATGTGGTGTGCATACACATATGCAGACAAAACATCCATACACATAAAACACCTGAGGTTTGTAGAGTAATATTAAATTTGTATTTTGTTTTTTGGTTTTTCGAGACAGTTGTTTCTCCATGTTGTTTTGGTGCCTGTCCTGGAACTCTCTTTGTAGACCAGGCTGGCCTCGAACTCACAGAGATCTGCCTGGCTCTGCCTCCTGAGTGCTGGGATTAAAGGTGCATGCCACCACCACCCAGTTTAAATTTGTATTTAAACTTGTTCTTGTTTAGTGTCCAATGTTCAGAGATCACAAAGAAGTTCAAAAAAAAATAATTCAATGCAATGAAGCAATAAAAAGTATTGTATAGACACACACATTTAATTAATCTGTGGGTAAGATAATGTTCTATAATAAATCCCAACCACGTATAGCTGTGTTAATGTGTAAACTGAAGGGAAGGGTTAGTAGTTGTCACTGGAATTGAAGGGTTTTACAGTCCAGTATTCAGTTGACTGACTAGCTAGGTGTTAAAGCCAATAGAAAGATTAGTCCATGGGCTGCAGGCATCAGAAAATAGTAGCATGACCAGTAAGTATTGGCAATAAAGGTGGTAAAGGGCTTCCATGAGTTGTTGATTGAGATTTGGAGCAAAGAACATTCATAATTTCATCTCTTCCTCTTGCTCAATTGCTTAAGGAAAAAGACCAACTTCCAGTTGTGAAGGAGACCACGGCATGGTTGTATTATCACAGCAAAGACATGGTGTAGTTAGGAGAACATTTGTGGAAAGTTTTGAAACTCTATAAGACAGTCTGTCTCTCTCTTGTGTAATCCCCTTGAGGCCTCTTCGGTCCCTGTGGTTCTCCTTTGTCCTCAGGTCAAAAGAGTTTTAGTGTCCCTAGGATCCTGTGCTCCATTCCTGTCCTCTTGTGAGTCCGGCTACAGGGATTAAATCTGTTGTCTTTGTATGAAGAAATTGACTTGGGTCCCATGAATTCTATTTTTGTCCACCCAGTTGTAGTTTTACCCAACCAGCTTGCTTTTGTTTTTAATCCCCTGAGCCTTTCTAATTTTTCCCGGGAGCCACACCTCTGGCTTTCCATTGATTTGAGTCCACTCACAAGGCCGTTTGTATAGTGCTTTCTTCACTCGCAGAATGAGTCACATCCTCCCATTTTTCAACAGTTTGATGGAAGACCCCCTCTCCCTCTCATCCTTTTCTTTTGTGACTATTGCCGTATGTTTAGGATCCAAGCATCCTTCTTCACGTCCTTTCTTCAGGAAAGAAAGCGGAGGATAAATGCTGCTGTTCTGCTTTCTAGTAAACTGAGAATGCACACAGTGACACTTTTGAAGATATTTGCCCAGCTGTATTTATGAGCTGACTGTGTCCTTCAAGGCTAGGATTAAAGTCTGTTTTCTTCCCTTTCCATCAAGAATGTCTGACAGGCTGTCATGGAATGTGTTACACATGTTTGACTTATTAATCCTTCACAAAGCCCCACTGGACTTTTCACTCACTGGATCACTAATGGAACGATGAACATGTTTGGTCTTCTCAGATACCAAAGTTAAGATGACTCAGCTATCATTTTTAAGTTAGGCCTTCATTTTCCTTTCTAAAGGTAGGGACTATCAATGCCATTCTTCACGCTCTCGGCTTCATAGCTGTCCTTCATGAGTTCAGAAAGATTGCCTCTGTAAGTGCAAGACCTGTCTTAGATATTCCCAGGTCTGTGCTGCAGGGGCATGCTGATCTAAAATGCCAACTGTATTTAATGTGTGACTCACTTATCTCTTCATTTTCATGAACTTTGAATCTGAGTGTGCAAATGAAGTGGCAACTTCATTTGATCACTGTTGAACCTTTGTACGGGCTTCCTCTTCAAACTCAGCTGTAGAAAACTGAAAACAATTATTCGTCTGAGATCTTTGTCTTCTCTGCTTACAGCCTCTCCATTCTGAGGCTAGATGGGAGGAATAACCAGAACTATTTTTAAAAATCCTAGAAATGAGGCCTGATAAGAGGGTATATATACTTTTTTTCTATATACTTCTCTCATTCCATATGTTTTTTAGAAATGGGCTAAGGAAGTATAATTTCATATTTTATATTGAAAATTTGCAGTTTTGACACTTTGTTCTTCCAGAAAACCTAAATCAGAGCCTTCCTGTGTGTTTCTTTTTCCTTTCCACAAGCTGGACTTACTTAAATGGTTTACTGAGTGAATTTAGGAAAAGTAGGAAGCACTCTAACTTGTGTGTGTAGCAGAAGTTTCTCCTGTCCCACCCAGTCTCCAGGTCCTATGTTTCTCCTGTTCTACCCTGCCCTGCAGTCCCACAGCCATCTATAAAATAATCATTCAGAGGCTTGATTTTAATTGGGAATTATATAGCCTGTGGCTCAGGCTTCTTACTAGCTAGCTCTTATAATTTAACTCAATCCATAACTATTAATCTATATAAAGCCATGTGTTCCGTGGCTTTACCTGCATCCCATTACATGTTGCTCCTTGGGCAGCCAGCTTGAGTCTCCCACTCTGCCTTTCTCTTCCCACTATCTCCCTTGGATTTTCCTGCCTGGCTCCATCCTGCCCTGCCAAAGGCCAATGAAGCTTTATTTATTAGCCAATGGGAGCAATACATATTCACAGCATATAGAAAGACATCCCACAGTGTTTGTGCATGTGTGTGTGTGTGTGTGTGGGGTGGTGGTGGTGGTGGTGGTGGTGGTGGTGTGTGTGTGTGTGTATGTGTGTGTGTGTGTGTGTGTGTGTGTGTGTGTGTGTGTGTGCATGTGGTACCGGTATTGCACCTAGAGCCTTAAGCATAGCAGGAAATGCTCTACCACTAAAGTATATCCACAGCTCACAAGTTATTCTTTGTTTTTTCTACCCCCAAGATGAGACTTCAGCCATGTTCCAAGGATTATTTTTCTCCCATTAAATAATAAAAACATAGTATAGACATAAATCAAAAATCCAAAATTTTGTTCAGTTTAAATTTTTCACTCTTAGGCTCGGGAGGATTGAGAAGTGGAGTAGGGAAGGTCTGTGTAGATGTGACATTTCCTGACTTATTTCATTTTCCACTGAATAGTTGAGGCTGCGGGCCCTTTAATATTAACCCAGAAGAGGAAAGGAACTAAAAGAAAAGTCCATTTGAACTGTATTGTTGTAAGCAAGTGATGGCGCTTCATGGCTATGGAGGTCTCTAAGGCTCAGTGTAAGACTCCTTCAGTGTAGAGACTGTCTCCCTGAGAACCTGACCTGCAGTTTCTGACTGAGCCATGCTGCTTCCATGTGGCACCCTTCCACTCTACTTGGCTATCTATAGCCCTCAACCTCTGGGGACTGAGGGTGCTTCATTTGTGGCAGGGGCTTTTGGTGTAACCAATGACCAAGGAACAATTTAGTCCTTAGCTTCACCATTCCACAGGGCTAGTGTCTGATGCCTGGAAAAGAGGCCTTGCTTTGAACATATGTTAAATTCACCACTGATAACCCCCTTTTCTTCTCTAGGCAAACCAAGCTACACTTTCCTAGCTTTGTTATTCAGTGATGGCTAACTCCGTGCCCCACAAATTCTGGAGGATGCACACTAACTTTCAAGAGTTCATCTGTAATCCCCTTCAATGGGCTTGAGGTAAGAGAGAAACTTCCTTCCCATATCATGGGTTAGAGAATGAACTTAGAACACAGCAGTAAAAATGCAAGCTTCTTCACTTCGGTGTATATTCTTGACCATGTCTTTGGAATGACTGGAGAGCTGAGTGCCTATGACCTCTGTGGTATGTTTTAAGACTTTGGGGTGTCTGTTGAAGCTAAAAACAACCAAAAACACCTCTCGTAAATAAAACTAGTTGGAAAAACAGATCTCAGATATGGCCTTTTTAAATATTAATTTTAATGTTATTTTATATGTATGTGTATGAACCTTGGTATATGCACATGTACCACGTGTGTGCTGTGCTCCAGGAGGCCAGAAGATGGCACTGGATCCCTTGAAACTGGAGTTATAGGTGGTAGTGAACTGCCATCCAGGTGCTGCGGTCTGAATCAGGACTCTAGAAGAACAGTAATTACTCTCAGTCATTGAGATTTCTTGATAGGACCCAGATAAAACTTTCTACTGTACTTATTTTAAAATTATCTATGAAAAGAGAGTAGATACAAAATTTGTTGATTATTTTTACTGATGGTGTTTCAAAACTTGTGATTTTTTTTTTTCAGAAAACAAGGCTATAAATCCAAAGCCAGAGTTTAGCTAATTTTAGGCAGCACGAAATAAATAGGAAGTCTGTGACTTGTTCCATCCATCTGCAGATTATAAATTCTTGCCAAAACCTTAAATATCTATGAAGGTTTTGCAAAAGTTGGTGCCTTGGGGCCATCGTTAGTGATGCTCTTCTCTTGAATTCCACCGATCTATGTCTATACATAGCAGTGACAGTTCTGAAATTTGTTCCACTATGGATCATGTCGGAAATCAAGGTTATCAATCAAGTTGCACTTTGGAGAGTCTAAACATTAGCAAAGATGACTCACTAGGGTTGTCACTGGAAAGGTCTCCCTAAAATCAACTTGACAAGTGGCTCTGTTTGAAGTTATGAGGAATTTCACAAGTAAATTACTTATTTATGCAAGAATCGTAAATGGAGACACAGTATGGCAAATGATTTTCTTGCCATGGGTCAGCTTTGATTGATTAGTAGTGGTGTCTGGAAAACCAGGGTAAGAAGGATTTTGAGACTAAATTTAGTTGCTGTGCTAAACAGTGGATCAGAAGCAGTCCATGGCATTGGGGAGATAGCACACTTGAATTCTTACTATGCTCAGTTATGACTAAACTATGTGAAGTCTCAGAGACAGTTCAACTTTCTGATTATAAAAGAATGTGGTTAAAGATGGTAAAAGTAATTTTACCCTTTTTTATGTCTGAAATCAATTTGAACATAAAGCTATATATTCTAAGAATTGTTGTTTTATATATATCATATATATAAACGTGTATATATATATATATATATATATATATATATATATATATATATATAACGTTAGAGAGAGAAGGAAAAAATTTCAAGTTTTTCAAAATACACAGATTATATTTGAAGGGCTTTAACACATTTTTTTTTTTTTTTTGAGACTGAGATCTTACCATGTAGTCTAGGGTGGCCTTGAACTTACACTCTTCCTGTCTCAGCTTCTTGAATATTGGGAATTACAGGTGTTTACTACTATGGCTGGCTCAAATAATACTCTAAACTGAAATTACAAAGTCACGAAAAATAGACAGACTTAGGAAGGAAACTAAACTTTATCCTGTTTTCATAGAATTGCTGAGGAGGCAAGAAGAAAGAAAGGATTTGAAAACAAAACCACCATTTCATGAAGAAGCGGGTGTGCTGTGGCCTGGCAAAGGAGTGAGAGCAGGCGGCCTTTCACTTTCTATCTGCTGATTATTGAGCTGCATTAGCAAATGGCTTGTCTATATAAATAGCATCCCATGTACATGGAACAAACCATACTACAACACAGAGATGCTTTGTGAGTACTCAGGTGGGTGTTTGCTTAGATAACAAACCTTTGGTTATGGAAATTGCTTGTTATTTCCACACACTTGGGGAACTTTTTCAGCAAATTAAAGCCTTGGAAATAATAGAGCTTCCATGCAGCAAGGACTAAGGCTGCCAATGGGTACACATCAGCAGTTATACTAAGCAAGAGTTTAACATTTTAAATAGACATGACCACGGCATCTGTAAAATTTCACATGGTAAAATAAGAAAACTTGAAGAAATACCAGGTTTAAAAATAATTTAAAAAATATAAAGAGATAAAAAGTGAACTGGGAGCATGCAGAAAAGGAATGGAAAGAAAAAATATTTCAAGATTATAAGTAGCAGGAAAAACAATGGGGTCTATAGAAGATATCTTTGAGGAAAAAATTGCAAAATAGGATACAACCTTAAAGATGGTAAAAAAAAATAGAGCTAGAAATTGTTGAAAACAGTATGTATATAAGGCAGGTCAGAGTTGGTCAGAGTCCAACCATGAGGCATAAACTAGACAGTAGTTGGATCTAGGGAAGTTTAAAGGTTTTGACTACAGTACCTGGTTAGAATCATCAAGGATTGGACAACATACTAGTTTTCTAGCTCTGCTACATCCTAAAGTGGCACAAATTGTAATATTTGCACAAAATAAATTTTAGTTTTTCACAATTCTGGAAGTTATAAGGCCAAGACCAGAGTGTTGGCAGGACTGCCTGCTTCTGAGGCCCTTCTCCTTGGCTCCTACCTGTCTGTCTGCCCTCTGGTGTTTCTATACTGTTTTCCTTCTGTGTCTATATAGGGTTTTCCTTCTATCTGTGTTTGTGTTCCAATTTATTCTTCTTTTAAGAACGAGGAGCCATGCTGTGGATTATGCTCATTCTTAATAATAAAGCTGATTGGCCGGTACCTGGGCAGGAAGAGATTGAGCACGAGAGCCAGACTAGGAGAATTCTGGAAAGAGGAAGGGTAGAGTCAGGAGTCGCCAGCCAGATGCGGAAGAAGCAAGATGAAAATGCTGTACTGAGAAAAGGTACCAAGCTACATGGCTAAACATAGATAAGAACTAAATATAAGAGCTAATTAGTTAGAAGCCTGAACTATAGGCCAAACATTTATAATTAATGTAAGCCTTGGAGTGATTATTTGGAAATGACTGCCAGATGAGGCAGGACAGAGAAGAGCCTCTGGTTACAGAACCACATTAATGACTTCATTGGATGTTTAAAAGATCCCAATTCTCCCCAAGTAGTTACATTCTGAATTACTTGGGGTTGGGACTGCAAAATGTGAATTTAAAGAGGACATAATTCAGCTCTTAATAGTAAGGAATAAAAAGGACTCAAAATACACAAATAGTAGTTTAGGTAGATAGCCATTCCTAGATATAAGGTAGATTACTCAAGGACATATGTGGTGGTATTGTGTTCCTCAAAATACTGTGCACCCTAATAAACTTATCTGGGGTCAGAGAACAGAACAGCCACTAGATATAGAGGCCAGAAAATAGTGGCACACACGCCTTTAATCCTAGCATTCCAGAGGCAGAGATCCGCATGGATCTCTGATTCAAGGACACACTGGAAACAGCTAGGCATGGTGACTCACCTTTAATCCCAGGAACTGATGGCAGAAAGCAGAAAGGTATATAAGGTGTGAAAAACCAGGAACTAGCGCTGGTTAAGCTTTTAGGCTTTTGAGCAACAGTTCAGCTGAGATTCATTTTGGATGAGGACTGAGAGGCTTCCAGTCTGAGGAAACAGGATCAGCTGAGGTACTGGTGAGGTGAGGTGGCTGTGACTTGTTCTGCTTCTCTGATCTTCCAGCATTCATCTGAATAACTGGCCTCAGGTTTTGATTTTATTAATATGACCATTTAAGATTCGTGCTACAGACATAAATCACCCAAGCCCTGGGAAACCTCCCTTCTCTTCTGCTATAGTTTGGGTGCTGAATATTCCCCCAAAGCCCATGTAAATGAAGACATCATCCCTGCAGTGGTGCTATTTAGACTTCTGGTAGACCCTTTCAGGAATTACATGACCTTGGTCACTCAGTCTTCCTTCTCTTTCTTATTTCAGACAAGAGCTTTTTATCTAATAAGTGTCCTGGACAGTAGCCCAAATCAACAGATAGACTTGATCTTGGACTTGAGTCAATGTAAAAACCTTTTTTACTTTGTAAGTAGCCAGTGTCCTATATTTCATGACAGTGACGCAAACCTGACTCACATACCTTTCCTCGTGTCTCTAATTCAGACATTCTGGAAAGAATGCATGTGGCTTACTGAAAGGCAAACTTTGCTAAGACTGTGATGCTGTCTAGCAGGAGATGCTGAGTTAGACCAGAACACTCTAGGGAGGTGTTGCATGGGGAGATTCCATGTGTTTCTAGTACAAGGGACTTTCTCTGTACTCTGGTTACCAAAAACCTAGTGCTGTAGAAGCCATGTATGCTGCTTCTACAGGATACTGCAGAATCTGCATGTATGATGGAGTCCACCTAGAGAAGCAGAGAAAGAGAAATTCCTTTCTCCTTTAGTGACTCTCTAGTGCCCTCCATTGACATTATGCCAGTTGACAACAGAAATGTTATATATACAGTTTAACTTCTTTATCACAGAACATGCAATGGAGGTGGATTTGTGTGTAAAGGTAATAAGTTAACAGCTGGTGCAGGAGATAGGTATGACATATTTGCTATTAGTGTTACTGAACATGACAACAAATGGAACAGAAAATAAAGTATGAAGGGATGCTCAGTACCATAGACCCTACAAGAGTAGTCTTTTAAGGTCATCAACTACTTATATAGTGTATTGTTTATATGTTTAGTCTTTTGAATTAAGTTCTTTAAATTCAGAAGAATTCCACAAAATTGCATGGATTCTTGTTCAAGAAAATACTATTTGCACTTTACATGCAAGGCAGAGGAGACGGTGACTGAAGAAATCAAGTGATGGGATTCAGACTTAGTAAGTCTTTTCTTGGATAAAACATTGACATTGTTGTCTTTTAGGTCATGTATCTTTGGGATATGAAGGGATAGCACAATGTAACCTCAAGCTACATCCAGAAATGACTGTCTCTTTTGACCTATGTTAAAAGTGTTTTAATGAAGCCGGGCGGTGGTGGCGCACGCCTTTAATCCCAGCACTCGGGAGGCAGAGCCAGGCGGATCTCTGTGAGTTCGAGGCCAGCCTGGGCTACCAAGTGAGTTCCAGGAGAGGCTCAAAGCTACACAGAGAAACCCTGTCTCGAAAAACAAAAAAAAAAAAGTGTTTTAATGAATATCTTCCAATAAACATTCATCTTTGTATATATCTATGTTTATTTCTAAAACTGATTTTTTCTGTTTAGATACATTTCCATGATTAGATATTAGTTATTGATCATTATGATGATAAAATACTTGGGCATATATTTGTAAAGGAGGAAAGATTTATTTTGGCTCCTGGCTTCAGAAGTCTCAGTTCATGATTGTCCAACTTCATTTCAGTAGGTCTGTGGTGAGGCAGATGAGCTAAGATGTACTTTCAAAATCATGCCTCAAGTCACTGATCTTCTCCAGTTAGGCCAAACTTTTTACAGGTTCTACAAACCAACGAGTAGTCCAGTTTATTATGATTTCATTGTTGGACCCATCCACTGACTGGATCACTACTCTCCTAATGCAATAATATCCCAAAAGCCCTATCACTGAAAATCGCTTTAAAGAATAGCTTTAACTCATCAGCCATTTGGGATGTTCTTCATATTCAAAGCACAACAAACTCCATCCTTCACTGTAATGTTTCACCCAGAACACTATTTGCTAAATACTCAAGAAACATTTGTTGACTAAGATACTGACAAATCATGGGAATGCAGAGAAAACTTACCGAGTTTTGCCTGGTTGGTTCCATTCAATAATAATGTTGAGTCTTTGTACCACCAATAGGTGCTAATAGATTTGTTGGAGACTCTCATATTAGCTTTCAAATTATATGACTACACATGCAACTTCACTGTCCACAAGAACAGAACTACCACAGACACAGAGGAAATTGAAACAATTATCATTGACTAATAAACTCTGAAGAGATACATTCAAAAGTATAGACGAAATTGATAGTTTTGTAGGAAAATATTATTGATCAAAAGTGATGATAAACAATATGCGAAATGTAAATAGACATATTTTATTATAATAAATAAAGTTGGGCTGGAGAGATGGCTCAGTGATTAAAAGCACTGACTACTCTTCCAGAGGATCCAGGTTCAATTCCCAGCACCCATATGGCAGCTCACAACTGTCTGTAATTCCAGTTCCAGGGACCCGACACCCATGGCAAAACACCAATGCACATAAAATAAAAATAAATAATTAAAAAAAGAAATAAAGTTGTCCAAGGATTATCTAGCAAGAAATATCAAGCCTGGGGGTTGAAGAGATGGACCTGCAGTTAAGAGCATTGGCTCCTCTTCCAGAGTACCTGGGTTCAATTCTCATAACCCACAGGGTGGTTTTCAACTGTCCATCTTTAACTGTAGTTCTCAGGGATCCCTTTCCCTCCTTTGGTCTCCTTGGATACTAGGCATGCAAGTGGTGCACAGACATATGCAAAGGAGGAACACATTTTTAAAGAAAGGAAGAAAGAATATCAAGCCCATGGAGGAAAGATACCCAGCATGGATCGTTGGCTTCCATATACATACATATGTGCATGTCTGTTGTGTGATACTATTTCAGGAGAGATGTGAATAAATGTCTGCTCACCCAAGATAAGGAACTGATGGTAGACCAAAGTATGAATATTACCAAATCGCAACTTGAATCAACAAGTATTACTAGGGTCACAAATCAGTTTTATTTGGGTTACTTGCAGAAATAGGGGTGAGGATTTACTTACAGGAGCAGAAATGACTCAAATACAGATGCATTACCAATTACCACAGCATGAATGACAGTTCACAAAAGCTGGAAACCTGGAATACATGGCATAGCCTACAAGCAACTCAACAAGTT